TCGCCAGGCAATCACCTAAAGTAACTCCAGCTATAGGGGCACTTGGTGCCTCTGGCCTCCACAAGCACCTGTACTTAATGTGCACATTCCCACCATACACATACACTTAATTAAAAAATAAAATTGAATCCTAAAGAAATAGCAAGATTAACAGAATTAGGTCCTGGAGGACTCAGAGCCCTCAGCCACATGTACTCCATGAGTACTTTTTCCTAGGAGATTCAGTGCAAAGAGCAGCCTAACTTTACTAAAGGGGAAGAGTTTATGAGGTTTCTTGCTTTTTTTTTCCTAAAAGAGAAATAGAAGTTCAAAAAAAAAAATGTTTACTACAAAGAAGTCACATAGAACCTTCAGAGTAATCTACCCCCATACATCACAGCCATTAGCAGAGAGAGGTCTTCCTTCCATAGACAACTGCTGTCCAGAGCACACCCACAAACCACAAATTCCGATCACTGTCCAAAGATCAGGCTTTCATCAAGTCTGGGGCTGAGAGATAGCAGGCTCTGACCTATATCAGTGCTGCCTTATAACAGAGGTCCCTCTAACCGGGCTGCCACTGGACACTATGGTAAACATGAGAACAGGAACTGAGAGGTGTTGGGGGAGGGGAAATATTTATGTTACTGCAAATGTCCAAAAGGCACCCTAACTTAGGAGTTTATAACTGCAAATCATCTCAGCTCACCAAGGATCTGTTCTAGCAACAGTTCAAGTAGAGAGCTGTCTCTGCCACACCAGCATGAGTCCCTTCACAGCAGGTGGGCAGTCACACCCATCAGGTTAACCTGTCATTGTGAAGACTTAGAAGGCACAGCCTATAGTTCCTGAAGTCATGGCTGCTGTAACCTTGAGAGACATGAAAAAGCACATCCTCATGAACGGCTGTTTATGCCGTCACTCTCAGTACTCTATGTGGACAGTGAGCAGAGGCCTGAGCTCCTCTGTAATTGAGACTCAAGTTCACATTTTAATTGATCCAGTCTGCCAATTGTTTCAGTTTTGTCCGGGCCCTGACTCCACTCTAACCCCCAACAACAAGGAACTGGGAAGAACTCTTGACTTTGAGTTTCAGGTGTCATTTGGGCTATTTCCAATCACCAGCTCACTGGATTAAAGTATCAAAATCTGGATCACAAAGGTCAAATCAGGAAATCATCTTGCTCCTTAACTTGGCAGTATTCTAAATACAAATAATTGCAGGGAACAAAACACAGCAGATGTGGAAGGAACATACATACTCTGATCACAAAAGGAAAAGGATAAAAATACTAATGTGGAAAATATCTTCTTGTCAAACTATGCAATGGCAGGGAACAGTGCTGGAGAATAAAATGTACAGATAACTGGGCTGCAATGAAAGGACGAGGGAACAGCAGCAGTACTTTATTTACTGTGCAGGTCACTATAGAAGGAGGAGATAGAAAGGGAAGAAATCTCTAAAGCACTTTGGAAGTGTAAGGTAGGAAGGTGCACACCAAAACCAGGTCACCAACACCATGTGTGAAGACATGGAATGCAGCCATAAAAGCCTGATGCACACATGCAACGTAATAAGTTGGGAATTGTGTGTGCCGAAGCTTTTTATCTATTAAAGGAACGAACAGTTTACATGCTGCTGTGTTATGTGAGTATGTGGCATGTCAACTCTTCCTCTTCTAATATCCCATGTTAAGTTAAATCAGTGATGGGGCTGGAGGGGGTGGGAAGGGTTGGGAGAAAATCCAAGAGAAAGTTTTAAAAAAATCTCCGCCTCAGCAAAAGTTTTCATTAAAATTTTAGACAAATGATCCCTGTGTCCTTCTCTCTTGCTGCCTGGGGCTCCATGCTATTTCTATGCAAATAACAACCTCGTGGTTTATATCTTATTATTTCCACTGGAGCTGCAACGACATGACCTGAGACGTGTAAGGGGTGGGATGTGGGGTGGTGGGAAGGAGAGAGAGAGAGAGAGAGATAGAGAGAGAGAGAGAGAGAGAGAGGGAGGAAGGCAGAAAGGGAGAGAGAGATGGAGTGGGTGTTCACTCAAGTGTGAAAAAATATTGTCAGGAGTGAGTGTCAAGAACAAAAAAAAATTGCAGGGATAACGTGTTTATTTCAGTCCCACACCCCACCCCACCCCCACCCCTTGCAAACAGGCACCTTTTAAAATTCATTGGGCATCGGGCGATCACGCACATCCATCTGCTTTCACCTCATCATTTGCATTTCATGCCTCCTGGCTTCTGATGTGCTGATACTTTGATGCAGTCAGGAGACTCGCATTATCATTATTTCAATTTCCAAAGGGGTCAACGGGATCAGCACTCGCACACACAAAATCTCTTTTCCCCTATAACCTCTGTGCACCCCTTTCTTATTCTTCACCCCAATGTTTAACATAAAGAATAAAGACTCCAAAAGGTGAGTGTTGGATGTTTACAGTCTAAAACTGCATATAAGCCTGCATATGCTGCCTGTATTTCCACTCCACTCATAGGTACACAGATACAGTGACCACGATGGTCAGGGCGTAAAAAGCAAGCTGCACAGTGCTTCAAACACACAAAGACTTTCTCATAAATGGACACTCGGGGAGGAGTACATTCAGAAAAACAAAAAGAGGAATCTACAAGCAAAACCTAGAAACAAAGAGAGATCAGCTCACATAGAAAGATGTAGACGAAGAGTGACTACCATGAGCCAGGAGTGAGATGGAAAGAAGCGTGCAGAGAGAATGGTAAGCAGAGACTAGAGAGAGAGACAGAGTAAGCTTATATGTGAGACGCTAGCATTCAGGAGTGAGCCAGAGGCAGCAATCTGAGCTGGCGCTCTATGATAGCTTCCCTTTTCATTCCTGATAAGCAACGGAGCTGAGAGGACATTCTTAATGAATTTGCATGAAATTGGGTGTCTTCCAGCAACAAGACTTTGTAGTTAAGAGGTGCAGACATGAAGATAGTATAGCAGGTGGAGCAGGATTAGGTAACCTCTTCAAAGAACACTCCCTTCAACTAAAATGATCGTGTCCTTCTGGGAACCAGCATTGTTAAACTACAACAGAGCCTCCCCTCAGTAACCAGGCTTTTCTCTAACAAACAGCACTATAGGCTAGGGAAGAGGAGAATACTGAATTTGATCAGAACAGAAATTTAAAAAGAAACCACTACTGTTTTCTTCTTGGCACAAATGAAATTCAACTAATAAGATGATAGCAAATCCCTCAAAATAGAAAACCTTTGCTGTTTAACAACCTCTGTGTAACATACTGGAGTAGGGGAGGCACTAATATAACCCATATACACTTCAGAAACATACTCTGCCTACATAAGACAACATCACAGAAATACGGGGGTGCATATCATTTTAAAAATCTGTCCTCATGGAGAATGGTGTCTAAACTCTCTTCAGCGTTCATCAAAACCTCATACTTAGATAACAACCAAAGGAGCAACTTTAAAAAATTAACGCTCAGCCGGGTGGTGGTGGTGCACGCCTTTAATCCCAGCACTTGGGAGGCAGAGGCAGGCGGATTTCTGAGTTCGAGACCAGCCTGGTCTACAGAGTGAGTTCCAGGACAGCCAGGGCTACACAGAGAAACCCTGTCTTGAAAAACAAAAAAACCAACAACAACAACAAAAAAAATTAAGACTCTCAGCAGTTCCTCCCCCTGCAGTCATCTTCAGTGGTGGCAGCTCTTCGGTTTTGTTTCCAGGCTGATACTACTCTGCCTTTCCTTAGAGAGAAAAGCAAACCCTGTGCTCTCTGATATCCCCTCAAGCTAATTAGACAATGAAACTGACCAGCTAGTCTCTATTCTGTCATTTAAAAAAACAAATCTTAAAAAGCATTTTTATTGTATAAGTGTACTTTTTTAGAGGTATATTTAGAAATTTCTCAAAACAGCAAAATTGTACATTCTCAACATCTCACTAGTATTTAATCCATTCTGCCAAGCCAGTGTCACAAACACAATATCCAATACTACTTGGCATGTGTATAACTCTACAGGTTGTCATCAAGTCATGTAAGGGAGATCCAGGAAAGCCCACGCTTCGTGCAGAGTACCTGTGTATTTTTCTTTAGTATCACAAAATTAAGATGCAAATTAACAGACAAGAAAGCTGAAGAGCTAAAGGGCTCCGTAACTTGTACAGTAGAAGCCAACTAACTTAAAACTACTCCATTTCATATGCTTCCTGCTCTGGAGGGAAAATAAAGTTCTGATGTTTATAGGGTGTCAGCGTGAAAGGAAAGGAAGGGAGAGGGAGGGAGGGTGAGAGGGTGGAGTGAGTGCTGCGTGCTCTTGGTTAGTTTCACTCTTCTGTGCAGTATCCTCACCATCTCCCCCCTTTTAGGAGAGCTGTAAGCTCAGATGTGTCCCCTTTCTCTGTCTCTGTCATTCCTTCCACGCAATCCATCTGTAGAACCCAATCATTTCATTGTTCATTATTTACTGAGCGCTTCCACTATACAATGTTCTTTTTCAGAGGTATGTTTAGAAATTTCTCAAAACATTAAAATTGCACATTCTCAAAACCTCAACCAGTGCTAAATCTACATTGTAGAGTCAAAAAACAGAAGCCAGTACACTTAGAACCTGACAGTTTCCTGCATTGAGAACAGGACTCCTCACATGTCAAAGGATGGGACAAACAGAGGCATTCATTTTCAATCTTTCTAGAAAGGGACTAGAATATGACCTCTTTGGAACAGAGGTTTATATATGCTTACTAATATATATTCTATATATAATTGTATATAATAGGTACATATTTTAACATATATATATAAATATATATAAACACAAGACTTGGAATCATAATGGTACACAAGTAGCTACTCAAAAATATTTGTTGAATGAAATAATGAATGGGTAAGTAAGCCAATTGGCAAACTGGCAAACATTAGAGGAGGAGACACATTAAGGAAGGCATGGGCTAACGGCTGCCCTTTAGTCAAAACTTCTTCATTATTAAACAATCAATCTCATATATATGTACAAAATCCTGGCAACTTACTTTGTTGAGGGCACCAGCTCCTGTAAGTATTAAGTGAGAATTCTCAACCTGGATGGTTCTTTGTCCCAGCCGGACAACGTAAGCCCCAATACCAATGGCCCGGCATGTAACCTTAAAAAAGAATAAATTCTGTATGTCACATATTTATGTCCTTTCCCAAACTGTAAAAACAAAGGCACAAATGAAATATATAAAATTAATATGAACAGAAATACTGCTTTTCATGAAGCCTAATGACAATACAACCCCCACCCAATCCAATTTCCAGGTTAAGTAAAGGATAGTAGTAGACACTCCAGGAGTTGTGGTTCTTTTATTTGCCCATTTCACAGATATCAACATGCACATGCATAAGTAAAATACTAAGCAGAAATTCAACCTGTTAAAATCTGGTAGAATATTTGGAGAAACAAGAAATGGAATTAAATGTTGAAATATCCTACATTTGGGAAATTTAGTAGTTTATATCATCCTGTCATCATTTACTGTGTATGATTATGATAAATTTATAGATATATCATCTCAGGAAGTATTTCAGTTTAGGATCCAACAGTAGTGAGAACGGCAGAAATAAACCCAGTCACACACTCGGCTTTTCAGTAAGTTTCGTACCTTGTGGGAAATGGAGGATGTAGCTCTGTGATACAGAACACCTGTCTAGACAATATGAGACTCTGGGTTCAATCCCAGCATTGAAAGGAAACTTCATTCTAGGAATATTTACCAGGCTGATGGTGATGATCTCATCATAAGCCAATGAGGATTCCCCAGCAATCATTCCAGAACCCCGAAGGTTCTCTGCTCCAAGTCCTTCTTCTTTCCCGATAATGTCTGTTATCTTGTACCTATTGGATAGTCATGCCAAATCACAAACAGTTAAACACAGTAATAGGAACTCATAAGCAGAACCACCACAATTACAAGACTATTTAACACTCTCTAATTCTGTTCATGTTCTTCATTCCTAAGGGTCTCCATCTTAGCTTGGATCCTACTTTACTTGGGAATGATATTCTGTAAAAGAAACAACAAAAGTTGGAATTTAGTAACTAGGTTAAAGCTTTGCTGATTCAGATACTGGTGGCTCTGAAGATAATAACTTCTGTAAAATGGGGATGGTAGTCTTTACCTCTAAGATATGGAAGACACGATGGTTAAAGCAACAAGAGGGCATGACACAACTCAGATTTTAAAAGCCCTTTCTTACATCCTTGGACACATTCTTAAGAAAAAAGCAGGGTCCCATATATCTCTAAAGTAAGCCACAACCATTAAAACTTAGACAATTTCATATAAAAGAAAAAAACCCAGAGAGATAGAGAGGAAGTGGAGACTATCACCCCTCTCCTTTTCGAAGATTAGAATAAAGAGGAGGGTCAAAGCAATGTATTCCCATTTACAATAGCAAGTATACTGGTGAGGGTTCCTGGCTACGGTTCTCTGAAGAGAACGGTGTGATGTATGCAGAAGTGAAATGCTGACCCAGTTACCTAGAAAGAATCCTGTGGGTCACTCATTAGGAGGCACAGCTGACAATGGGAGATGGGAGATAGCAACAGAGCTACTAAAAGTAAGGATGTCCAGCACCACACATACACATGCATGAATACACACACACACACATGTACATGGAAAGCATAGAGCTAATAAAAGTAAGGATGTCTAGCACCACACACACACATGCATGAATACACATGAACACACATGCATGGAAAGTGCAGAGCTGGAAGCAGAGATGTGCATACATTACTTATTGTTCTTGGCACAGGGCAGGAATTGTGTTTTATTTTAACTTTCATGAGATGAAATAATAAAAATAAGCACTGTATAACACCTCTTAACTACCTCAGCCCTGTATTTTTCTGCTCCTTTCTGTCTCTCCCTCTACCGACTCCATTTCTTTGTCTTAGCTGTGGTCCGTGACTGTAGCTCTGCTTCTCAGATTGCTGTAGCTTTCTATTTTTAGCCTCTCCCAATATCAAGTTATCCACGTTTCTTTCTCTCTATATATCTAGACTTCAGATTCTAGAGTTATGTTACAAATAAGCTAATCTTCCTTTAGAAAGAGACATGAAAAAGCTGGCAGAACTCTACCATATCCACACCATGTTCCAAGGCACCCTGAGGCACCACAGTGAAACACTAGGGACACTATTTTTAGAAAAACACTATGACATGTGATATCTGTTAGACCCCATGTGAATGATTAGCTTTAGGAAGTTAACAGCTTAACAGAAGATAGAATGTCGTCAAAAGAAATGCAGCACTATCTTTACAGAGCCAGGTTTTTGCAGTTTCTGTGGAACAAATGCAAACTTTGCACAAAAACCAAGGAAGAACAAGAAATGAGGGTGGCTATATGCAAGGTAACTCCAAGGTCTGTAAGCACAGTATCACATTATCTGTAAGTGACTGTAATTATTTAAGAATCAGCTAGGTAGTACTCTCAGATACTAGAGGTAAAGGTATGAGGGACAGGAGTTCAAGACCATCCTTAACTACATGGTGAATTCAAGGTTAGCCTGGGGTTCATGATACCATCTTTCAACACTCCCTAAGAACCTACCCGGAAAACAATAAAATACGTTTTTCCAATTCACATGGATTACTTTATTCAAGCGCTCATTAACCTCATAAGAAAGAAACATTTATGATGCTATTTGCATTAAACTACTTAATTAAAAAAAACATTAGGTCTATGTTTAGTTTAGGGGTGCTGTGAAAAAGGATTACAGACATATTAAAGGTGCCATGAGCTGGGTGGTGGCGGCACATGGCTTTAGTACCACACTTGGGAGGCAGAGGCAGGGGAGATTTCTGAGTTCCAGGACAGCCAGGGTTACACAAGGAACCCTGCTTTGGGGATGGAGGTGGGATGGGGTGGGGAGGGGGAAAGTTGCCGTAAACCAAGGAAGTTTGAGAACCAACAGCATAACTTATATGGAGAAAACTATACACATCAGTAAACAGAAAAATATACCATGTTTATTTTTAGGGAAGTTAAACAGAGATTTCCGGTCCTTGTAAATTAATATAGAAAACCAATACAATCCAAATTAAAGTAATTATGGGAAGTTTCTGGTTATTAAAACATGTGCTAGGCCATGGGCTTGTTCTCCAGCACCATAAAAACAAAATACTAACAAAGAAGCACATCAGTTAGTTACAACTTGGAAAAAATGTGAGAAATAATGTCCCACAGCAATAGTTAAAAGAGTATGGCAATGGCTCAAGATGTAAGAATTAGTCAATAAATAATGCCACAGCAATTAGCATTCTAGAAAATATGTACAAAGAAATTATCAAAATGTTCAGCCTCACTGGTAATCAAAAATGCAAGGTAAAAATAACAGTTGCTATCTAGTTTTGGGAGACAGGGTTTCCCTGTGTAGCCCTGGCTGTCCTGGAACTCTTGTTGTAGATCAGGCTGGCCTCTAACTTACAGAGACTCCACTGCCCTTGCTCCACCTCCTGAGTGCTGGGATTAAAGGTATGTGCCACCACTGCCCAACTAACAGTTGCTACTTTTGAGAAGATACTCATTATTACTAAATATAGTAATTACTGTTTTAAACGACAATCACTGATACATTCAGAACAGAGGAAATCAGTGCGATCATGTACTTACTGACTGGGGTTGCAAATCTTGGAAGGGCGATTTGAAAAAATTAAAAAACCTTTAAATATGGACTTTCTGACATGTAAACATCTAGAAATTTACACAAAGAGTTATCAGATACCCTGTGCTTCAACATACCACCCTCCAAAAGAATAAAATTCTTGCAATTCCATGTGCAATTAATATACTGAATTATTTTATTCAAGTGATCAAGCTGGACAGAAACACTTGAAGCTATTGTATTTAACCACTTAAACAGAAACAAAGTGTATGTTTTAGCTTATGGATAGGGTGCCAGGAACACAGATTAGGGACAGTCCAAAAGTGTCTATAAAGGAATATTCAACTGAAAGACATAACAGTGAAAGGCTAGAAATGGTCTGCATATTCAAAGATAGCATAGTCACTATGATGTAATATTATGCAACTGTTAAACTTCATGTTTATTTCTGAAGGAAGATTAGCTTTATATGTAACGTAACTCTAATCTGAATATAAGAAATTGCCCTAAATTTTAATTCAAAGGATTAAAAAAAAACCCAACACCACAAAAACCTCTTATCTACTATAATCTCAACTACATAGGAAAAAAAAAGCATCATGAATATAGTAAAGGCGTAAGAATAATGTAAATTCATAGTTGTGCTTTAGGGTAGGCCTGTGGCTGGTATTTTACTTTTTCTTCAGAATTATTAACACATTTCATTGTTTCTTAAATGAGTAAATAATATAAATATTGCCTAAAATCCTCCATTAATAGCAGCTAATAAGCTAATAGCTAACAGCTAATAGGCTAAGGTACAAATCTAAGATGTCTAGATTATACCACAGAGCTTTTCAAGGTTGTATGAGCACAAAGAGATACTCTCTTTCTTTGAGAATCATGGCCAAGTCCATACAAATACCCACCTGGATTCTCCTTCATCCTCCACATGTTCACAGTGGACAGAATTGAGAGCACTGACTCTTTTATAATCCTGGGGTGTCAGATATAAATACTTGTATCCCTGAGAAGCACAAATAGTTTTTAACTCATTATCTGCCATTATCACACAACCAAGACAAACATACATAAAAAAACTTGCTCCAAAGCTAGATTTACACTGATAAATTATTTGAGTGACTGTCTAGCAGAACACTAGTATAGGTGGTTTCAAAGACGGAAGTTCCTACATTTTAGTCACCGTCTAATGTTGAAACAATATACCCTATAGTTCCAATTCCAGGTATGTTCCAGTCATTTCATTTTCAATAAGGTTAAAGGGTCATTTCTGGGTCTTTGGTGACACTTCCATTAATATATCAGCATGGGACTCAGGAATTGTGTGAATTACTGCTCTTCACTCAAATCCATATCATCAAAATAGAGAGGGGTAAGGTATAACTGAAAGGATCACAAATCTGGGAAATTAATATTGAAATCAGAGGTCGAGGCAGTAAAAAGTCTGAGCACAGAATTTATACTTTCACTTTTTTTGAATAAGTTCTATTTATATTAAAAAGCTGTATTTATTACTTAATGAATTATTTGCATGCATACACATACAAACAATTAAAGCAGAATACTATGTTATACATGTTTAACATGCTGAATGTATTTACAAGTTAGTTTTTATACACTGAGATGTGGTACAACCATCATGACTAATTCTAAGTTCTCCCAATACCCAAACAGAAACACAAACGTTCGAGTAGTCATTACTGACCTCATTATATACTTTATGGACACATTTTAATGAACAGTAATTACATTCACTAAAATCCATCGACTTTGTTATAAACTTTTATTTTTTTAGGGCATTGTGTGGCTATTTCCCAGGCCTTATTATTTCCCAGGCCTTATTTCCCTGGCCTTAGCATCCAGAGGAGTTGGGATCGCAGGCTTCAGCAACCATATGTGGCCTTTATCATTATTACCTGATGAGTTCTGATAAGTGGATATATACTCGTGTTAGCACCATGGTAATCAGAATAAGGAATATTTTTTTATTATACCTTCAAATAGTCTTATATATAAGGACATGAAAAGTAGGAAAAGAATCTGAGAAAGAGGAGCCACAAAGGTAGATAGAAAACCAAGAGAAGTATTTAAAAGATAAAGCAGAGACCACTGGAATCAAATGCTGCTGAATCATCAAATAACCACTAAGATAAGGACTGAGAACTCAGTGTTGAATTTGCAACACACAATCTCTGGTGACCTTGATGAAAGTAGCTTGATCAGAATGGTTCTGGTGCAGGCTTCACAGAAGGAGGTTCGAGAGAGTGGGAACAGAGCCTGCAACAGCAAGAGCAGACAACTCTTTGAAGTTCTGCTTTCAAGTAAAGAGGAAGAACAGGTCACAGTGAGTGACTTGAGGGATATGTGTGTGTTATGTCAAGGTACAGTTCAAGGAGAGAGGGAAAAGGGGATGCGCTGAGCAAAGGAGGAGTGGTATTCTTCACTACAAACAGCTACAAAGGGAGGGATGGTTTTAGGAAGGGCGGGGATTATTCATTTCAAGCACACTGGACTGAGGTGGAGAGGAGTGGGGACAGACAGAGGACGTGCTCATCTGCACAAGGAGCTAAAGTTTTTCACTTGTTTCTCTTGCAGTACGGGGGTAGGGGTGGGGGTGGGGTGAATGCAGAGAAGAAGCAAGTCTTGTTTCTATTTCAGAGCATCTTGGGAAGCAAGGACTGATCCTGAGTAGGAATGATGGTAAGGGAAGAGGGTGGAGAAGATGTGAGGAGAGAGGAAATGTGAGACCATCATCAAGAATTTGGTAAGCTCAGATTTGGAAAGTGGGACCCAGTCAGAGAACCACATTTTTCTCCATCTCTGTTCAGTCGCACAGTGCACATGTGGAGAAGGTGGACAGAGTTAGGTTTGAAAAGGTTTTACTTCTAGAGGTATAGACGAAGCAGAATGAGCAGAAAAACAAAGGTGACAATTAAGACAATTAAATGCTATCAAGGTGAACCTTGGAATTAAAAAAGTTGAATGAGCAGGACACAGGCCTTGAATGCCAGCTGAGCCAAGCAGACCTTTATGAATTAAAGGACAACTGGGTCTACATAGTACATTCCAGGCCAGCTAAAGCTACAAAGAGAAACCTAAAAGCAAAACAACAAACTGGGTGGTGCTGGTGAATACCTTTAATCACAGCATTCAGGAGGCAGAGGCAGAGGCAGATGCAGAGGCAGGTGAATCTCTCTGTGAGTTTGAGGCCAGTCTGGTCTACAGAGTGAGTTCCAGGACACCCAGGGTTACACAGTGAAACCCTGTCCAGAAAGAACAAACCAAACTAAACCAAAAAAAGCCAAAACCAAAGCAAAAAACCAAAACAATAAAAAAAAAAAACCCATCAAACAAGTTGAATGAAATGAGAGTGAAAAATGGGGGGAAAAAGTGGCAGAATCACAGTATTTGTAGGCTTAAAGGATCACTGGATTTCGAAAGCGTCAGAAACTGAGCACATGGAGCACATGTGACGATGCCCTGCCATTCCAGTTCTAGCTCCGCTGTAGACAGCTACCAAGTTGCCCTGGCAAGTTAGAAGCTCCAAGGACAATGGAGTGGAAGAGTGGCAAAGAGAGGGATGCATAAACGTGGTATCATAGACAGAGTAGCAAGGGTGGACCATTAGAGAGAGATCTCAAAGATCCAGTTACGATGAGGATCACCTAGTGGATGAAACAATCGCAAGAATTATCACACAACTAAGTAGCATTGGAGAAAGTTAACAATATAGTAGAAATGAAAAGATGCAAAGTGGCCTGGAGAGGTGGCTCCAGGGTTAAAACCACTTACTGCTACTGCTCTTGGAGTCCAGGTTCAATTCCCAGCACCTACATGACAGCTCATAAGTGGCTATGACTCCAGTTCCAGAGGCTCCAACATCCTCTTTTGTTGGCTACAGGCAGGCGCTTGCGCTCTCGCTCTCGCGCTCTCTCTCTCTCTCTCTCTCTCTCTCTCTCTCTCCCTCTCTCTCTCTCTCTCTCTCTCTCTCTCCCCTCCCTCTCTCGCACGCACATGGTATATGTACATATACTTAGTCGCATACACATACACATAAAATAAATAAATTTGAGAGCTGGAGAGAGTACGTTCTGCTTTTGAAAAGGAGCCAGCATCTACGTTGGGTCACTCACAACTACCCAATATAGTGGCTCAAAACCACTTCTTAAGGAAGATGGTTCTCTTGTTTTGTTTTAAATTCCATCTTGTGTATTACGTGGAGGTCAGAGAATTTGTGGTAATTGGCTCTTCCCTCCCATCACTGTGGATCCTAGGGATTGAACTCAGGCCTTCAGGGTTGGCAGCATGCATCTTACTCTCGACCATTTCACTGGCCCTAAGGAATTTTTTGTTTGTTTGTTTGTTTTTCGAGACAGGGTTTCTCTGTGTAGCCCTGGCTGTCCTGGAATTCACTCTGTATACCAGGCTGGCCTCAAACTCAGAAATCCTCCTGCCTCTGCCTCCCAAGTGCTGGAATTAATGGCGTGCTTCACCACTGCACAGCCCTAAGGAATTTTTGTAAGTAATTTTGTAAATGCTCCTTTTTAAACATTGTTCCTCTCATGTATATCTCATGTATATCAACACATATCCATGCATAAACATACAGAGACTTGAGGTGCTATCTCTGTGTGGCCCATACCTTATAGGGATCTTCAGGATCTACCCAGGCCACATGGAACATATGACGTATTTCTTCTGCCAGCCCAATTCTAGCTCCGCTGTTGGCTGCCACATAGATGCGTGGGATGCCTTCTGCTCTGGCAAGTTCAGAAGCTCTGAGAAACAGCAAATCCTCCTGAGGCCCAAAGGAGCCAATCCGATATGTAATGTCATTGCCGATGACAATGATATCTCGGCCATCTGGATATTCAGGGCTTTTAAGGCTCATTTTCCAGGCTACCATTCCAATCTACAAGGACAAAAACAAATGAAAACAGCTTCTTACATTCCTTTACTTTTGAGGATTCTTGAAGGTAAGACACTAGACTTAAGATACATCCTTCAGAAGATGTGCATTGTAAAAGAACCAAGCTCCCTCTTGGAAAGCAAACATTCTAGGATGCTGCTTCACATTACTACTGTGTCGCCTCAATTCTTCAATGAATTTACTTAAACAAAATGGAAAAACTCCAAATCTAAATGCACTCAAGATTACATGTTGAAGAAAGATAAGACAGTGGGGATGAGTTCAGAATGTCCATTTTACTAAACTATATACTACGACACTAATTTTCAGCTTTGATGAGATTTGTTTCAAGAAACCTTTAGCACATAAGGGATAGAAAGAGCATCACCTCTCACAGACTGTCCAACTTTTCTTGTGATCTCAGGCCCTTTTATTGTCCTTTAGGAAAGATTCCTCAGTGGCTTGGGTCCAGGTATTTTCCATTTCTGCAAAGATTTACTATCGAAATTCTTGTTGCTTTCTTCAGCTCCAGAAAACCAAAGGATGCACAGAGCTAATCTCTTGATGCACTATGATGTATGTAAATCTCTGCTCTCTGTTCAGTGGCATCTGACCAGCCAAACAAACAAATGATACAGACTTGAAAGACAGAGGTGACACGTCTCTTCTCAAACCCTTCTGGCTCTTTCCTTTTTAATCCCCTTCTATATGAGAGCTACTCAATCCTACTTGTTTATTTGCTAGTCCCATTTCTTTCGTATGCACTTACGCCTCTGTTACAGCTGCAGTTTTTCATGTCTGCCCGTCTATTTCCCCTATACCTGGATAAGTAATGCTTTTCATTCTTTACCCTCTTTTTTTTCTGTCTCCTGCTTCGCTCCCTACCCCCACCACTCATGCCCAAACACAAAACCTACCAGATGAGCATTTCTGGCCCTGCTTAATGGAGCCCAGCCACATCTGCAGCCTTGGTCCCTCATCCCCAGGCTGCTGCATATCACCTCATTGGGGAGCTGGCCATCAACAGATGTAAATAGCAGCATCCCTGGAAAGCCACATGCATCACCCAGACTCAACCCAGCCAGTGATCATAAGCTCTGAGTACACATTCCTCAATCCAATTGCACATCACTGTAATCAAGCTGGTTGAAGCTTTCTACACAGCGATTTGTGATTCTTTGCATTAAGAAATCTATATGAAACACCTACTGATAAATATAAGCTATTTAATATATCATACCATTGGCCGAATACAAAATGGATGTAATATAGGAAAAAAAAATTCCACTCACTTTCTGAGATATGATATTACTCTATCGGCTCATTAAAGACAAATAAGGGAAAAGAAGCCTACCATTTGAATGCTACACAGAGAAGCCCCAAATATCAGAACAATTTTGATCTAAAACAGCAGCAGCAGCAGCAGCAGCAGCAGCAGCAGCAGCAGCAGCAAAAAGGCTAGCTTATAAAATGCATGTATGGTGAGATTTTTTTTTTTAACATTTTCAGGTACTGTTTTAGCTAAACCATTCATTTGTTTCTCAGAAAAGAAAACATACTCCCTGTCTACTTTCTTGTAAGCATATTTGCAGTTAGGAAGATTGGGTTTAACACCAAATTTTATGCTATTTTAACCTTAGCCACTTAGGCCAGCTTAGATACAAGCCCTGAAGATTCTACTTTGGCATTTGTATCCTAATGTAAACACTGACTGTGGCATTGGAAAAGTAGATAATACTCTTATCTTTCCTCATTATCTAGGGACTCTTGTGTCACTTGGGCAGCCTGTTCAGCAACTGGCCAGGTCATTATGCTTGCAAAATTGACTTCTAATTAGATGTCAACACAGTAGCACAAGAACATTTTTTCCTCTCTCCAGTTTTTTAAGGCAGGTCACACTATATAGCTTCAGATAACCTTAAATTTGTTATGTAGTCCAAGATGGCCTTGAATTTACAATCCTCCTGCCTCAGCCTCCTGTGTGTTGGGATTATAGACACACAAAACCATATCTGGCTTTACACGTTACTTTCTTCTCTCAATGTCTTGCATTGATTAGCCCCACTCACTGACTCCTACATTAAAAGAGACAAAAGAGAACTGAGTTGAGCCAGTCTCAGTACAGGAAGGATCCTTACCAAGAACACATTCAGTTGTGAGTTAGCACAATGAACACAGGAGGAAGCACCTGTGGTTCAATTAACATTAAAATTTGGATTTCATTGCTAATCAAACAGTAGTAGGGCGAATAAGGGTAAACATGGGCTTTGGAGTCAACCAAACTTAGATCTAAATTGAGGATCTATCACTTATTAGGTTAGTGACCTCAGTATATATTTAACCTTATTGAACTTCAGTGTCCCTATATAAAAGATAAAGATAGCTGATGAATTTGATGAACTACTGGAAGCAGGACTCTATATTAAATCCAACATACAAAGCTTGCCCTTTTTTCCCCTCAACCAATCTAAATCCTGTTTGAAAGTTTCATTCAAACTCCACTTCCTCATTAAAGCTCCCTGATTCTAAAGTGACGTCTGCACTCTCTGATCTCCAAGATCTTCATGTAGCTCAGATATCACCTACAACTAACTGACTGACTTTTTTCTGTTTTTTTTTAAAGACAGATTTTATTTTGTAGCCCAGACTAACTTTCTTTCCTTTCCTCTTTTCTTTTTTTTTTCTCTTCTCTTCTTTTCTTCCCTGAGACAGACTATAGCACAGGGTTGGCCTCAAACTCATGGCAATCCTCCCATCTCACCCTCTTGACAGCTGAGACTGCATGAGAGTGCCATCAGTCACAGAATAGTCATTTCATTAAAATAAACGCTACTACTTGGAAATTCTAGGAAAACTGTCAACACTGTGAGTCAAAACACTGGTCATGACCAATATCTAAAGAATATAGATTGAGAGTCCCATTAAGTGAAACTGTAAGGTAAGAATAGGTATTATCAAATGAATATCTACCATACGTTGCATTACACTGTAAGTTGATAAACACTGACAATAATTAAGAGCTTAAGTGAGAAATGAAATCAGACGTCTTGGTACAAATGTCAGTTTCATACTAGCTGTAATGCCTTGTATACAGCAACCTTAACAGGCTCGCTTTCCCCACCTATAAAATAGGATTTTTCTTGAGGAATTGTTATGAAGAGCATATTGAAGTAGTATAGAGCCTGTACATACATGCTCTGAAAGTAGCTCTTATAACACAGAAGGTTGCTAGCTGTCACTGTCATAAAGAAAGGGGGGCGCAGAGTAACTTTTAGGAGGGGGATTTGCTGGGGACTCAAAGCATAGCTCCATATACATTATGCACATATGCGACCACTGAACTTGTTTTTATAGCTAGTGAGAATTATTTACTTTTTAAGGTAAGGTTCACAGAAAAAGAAATGCTGTTCTTTACTAGAGAAATTATAGAAGTATAGTTCAGAATATTATTACTGTCTTCAGTTGAATACAATATGGATTGTGAATATTAATTATAGCATAAACATAAATGTCACTGATCCCTAACTGTAATGTGGTTTCATGGATTGGATTCTGGAATAGAAAAAGGATATTATTAGAAAAGAAACTTGTAAAATTCACAACAAACTCATTTGTAAATCTGAAACACTGATAATTTCTTCATTTTGATAATTCTAGTATGATTACATGATGTTAATACAAGGGGATATAAAGAGTATAGTTTAGTGGTAGAATGCATACTATTGTTTCTGGGTCTACACTTATTAAAATAGTGCAAATGTATACTTCCAGCATTCTGAAAGCAGAGGCAGGAGAATTAAACTCGAAGTTCCAGACTAGCCTGGGCTTCTGCCATGCCTAATGAACTCTCTATACTGTACTGAATACTGTTTTCTTTCTTACACACACACACACACACACACACACACACACACACACACACACACTTACTTTTGAAGCAAAGAAAATTGGATAGCAAAGAAAAGTATATATACATATACATATACATATACATATACATATACATATACATATACATATATATATATATATACACATATACTTTTTGGTTTTTTTTTTTTTTTGAGACAGGGCTGTGTAGTTCTGGCTGTCCTGGAACTCACTCTGTAGACCAGGGTGGCCTCAAACTCAGAAATCCACCTGTCTCTGCCTCCCAAGTGCTGGGATTAAAGGCGTGCGCCACCACCGCCTGGCCATTGTTAGTATTCTGAATAGCATTACAATCATGAAACTGTTAAATGCCTGGTCTTGACATCTCAAATGTTGACAGGTGGGGCAAGAAAAGAATGGAGACAAGGCACAAAGAAGAACATGCTCCTGGGATTTAGTGGGTATAGGAATCATGGGTGAAAACATGTCAAAGACAGGGGAGACTGTAGAGGCTAGGTTTGTGTCTGGGAAAATATGTTCAGCCAATTCAACAATTCTTAGCTGGGCGGTGGTGGCGCACGCCTTTAATCCCAGCACTTGGGAGGCAGAGGTAGGTGGATTTCTGAGTTCAAGGCCAGCCTGGTATACAGAGTGAGTTCCAGGACAGCAGGGCTACACAGAGAAACCCTGTCTTGAAAAACAAAAACAAAAACAAAACAAAACAAAACAAAAATTCTTGATTATTTCTATATTAAAACATTCTCTTAATCTCAAAAACAAAGTGATGGCTTTGAAGGTTATGAATTTAAAATTACCTATGATATAGTATACAAGTAGAAAAGGACACAAAAATACATGCATATTATAACTGTAATCAACAAAACAGTGTGGTATTTAAGGGTATAGACTCAGAAGCCAAATACCTAGACTCTGAGTGTGTTGGTGCATAGATGTTATCCCAGCACTTGGAAAGCAAGAATTACACTGCAAGATTTTATCTTACAAAATAAAAAAATTTAGTCAGACATGGTGGGGCACACCTATAAACCCAGCCCTTAGCAGGCAGAGGGAGTATGGCTTTAAGTTCTAAGTAACTCAGGGTTATAAAGCAAGAGCCCATCTCAAAACAATCA